ATCAGATAAACACACACACACACACACACATACTCACACGCTTATTGGCAAAATGACTAGCAGACATACACAATGAAAAAAGATAATCCACAACGAAAACAACATAATAATATTATGTCATCAGTCACCCAAATGTTTCACAGCTCCAAGAACGCTATACATCTTCCACGTCGTCGCCTCTGTATACAGCTACACTTCAAGAACATCAAGATTCTTATATTCACACTCTGTAGTTCCGAAACCAGTAATAGTAATAGTGTTTATCCAAAGTACGAAATCTCCATCACTCCGAAGTCTTCCATTTAGTTTTAGAGTCAGAAGATTTGTATATTTTCTTCCAAACTTCTTCTGCACGATTCATAGCTTAGTTCGTCAGTTCTGTCCTGAACTGCTCTGCTGTCTTTGAGATGAAGCTACTATAATTAACAATGAAGTGCATACTCGCATTTGTACGCTACACAATACTCGTTGTTGTTGTAACTGATGTTGTTGTTGTTGCTGCTGTTAGTGAAGACGACGATGATACTGTTGCTGCTGATGCTCCTCTATTTTTGCTGCTGCTGCTGCTGCTGTTGTTGATGATGTTAAGTGCTTAAGTTTAACTTTAACGGCATACTAGAGAACCGGTATGCAATTTCGAAGGTGAAGCATTCGGTACCCAAAAATAAAACACGGTCCTGGGGAGATAATGCAAGAAGTCAGAAAAAAACCCAAACCCAGAACCCTGAATGAATTAGAACATCGACCATCTGAATAAAATGTTATCAAGTTCTTGACCGACTGCTCAAAATCTTTAAAACGGCCGGTCAATATACGAAATGGAAACTCCAATGCAGTGCTATGACTCTTGGCTCAAAGCGGCATCTGCGTTCTAAACTATGCACATCAGAGGAACGGTAGAATCTCAAGGGCATCGCCGAAGATACTAAGGGGCATATCTCGTCTTTGTGTACACAAGAGTACCATCAAACATCCGATGATTAGACTTGTGGGGCCGCGTTAATGACGTCATTACTTCGTTTGTTGACCTTATCCTCAGATGTTTAAGGTTAATTTCTGTTTGTAGGGATTTTATATTTGGAGGGGTGGGTTTGGGGTTTGAGGAAAGGGGGTGGGGGTTGCTAAAAGTAAGAAAGATAGACAAATAGATAGATAAATAGATAGATAGATGGATAGATAGATAGATAGATAGATAGATAGATAGATAGATAGATAGATAGATAGAT